TTATTTTCATTTCTTCGTAAAAATGCTAATGCCGGCGATCCTCTAACTTTGAAGCATTATAACTTGAAAAGTACTTCATGAAAAAATATTTTATTATAGCGTTTTGGAAAGCTCTCGAGATGTGCTATAAGAATATGTAATGAAAAATGGGGTGTTCCATTTAAAAAAATTAATGTGACCTTGACCTGACCTTCGCTACGCAACCCAAGGTCAAACTGATGTGATCAGTAAATACATATTTTTAAACGCCACAACTTTTGTCTGAAACATTTTTTTGTAAAACTTATATTTTTCCTGATATTCGGGCGTCCCGGTACTTTCCGAACACCCTGTATATATAATATATTATATATATATAATATATTATATATATAATATATTATATATATATAATATATTATATATTATATAATACATTTTATATTATATTTATATTATATTTATATATTAATATTATATTTTTATACGTATGTTATATAAATAAACAATATACATTTTTTATCTTTATTGATTGTTTAGTTGTTGGCATATTTCATCGCGAATACGCACTCCACTTTGTTCGTCTCTTTGTATTTCATCAATGAAATCTAGATGTTGACCTCTAACTTCCATGTCAGGATAATCGTCATTCATGGGTGGTTCGAAAAATTGTAAATCCTGCATGTTGGCAATGTTGTGAAGCACACAACATGCGTAGATGACACGAACCATTCGTACTGTATCTCGCAATTTACAGTGATATAGTTGACGAAACCTTTGCTTCAATCAGCCAAATGCGTTTTCCACGATGACTCGGCAAGAGCTTAGTTTCCTATTGTAATGTCTCTGTGCGCGAGTAAGGTGCCCATTATCTTTATAAGGAACAATTAGTTCCTTTAGACAGGGGTAGGCACTGTCTCCCAATAAAAAATAATGATCTACAAAAACATTTTTTATATGAAAATAATTATTTTCTTACAAATGTTTATGACATTTTTTATGTGCATGACTTTCCAACTTACCTGTACACAGTTCATGCAAATCGTTACACAGTGGTGAGTTTCTGAAAACCCTTGCATCGTGTACAGATCCAGGGTATCCGGTGAACACATCTATGAATTTCATATTGTGATTCACCGTACCCTGTATGTGCAATGAAAAATATTGCTTGCGATTGATGTAAGAGTCAGAATCTTCTGTTGGCTTGTCTATTCTTACATGGCAACCATCAATAGCACCTTCAAACGAAACATATTAGTAAATTACATGTGTACCTTATAATGTAATTATTCACACACATGTAAGGTACACAAGTACCTTACATGTGTGTGAATGAAAACATTTATAAATTACCTATTACATGAGGAAATCCTTTTCTTTCATTAAAAAAATTAGCAGTTTCCTGCTTTTCAGCCAATGTAGGATATGTGATGATGGTAGGTGCCAGAACCAACAGAAAATCCGTAACCCTTGTTATTAAATTATAAAGAGCGCTTATCGTGATATCAAAACGGTCAGCGACATCACGATATCCTACGCTTTCATGCCCTGTGAACCATAAATAGCAGAGTATGTGTTTTTCCGCTGTCATTTTTGGACGTCCTCCGTCACCTAAATAAAAATCAAAAGTTGTAAATTATCCTGTTACAAATACTGTTAAAATATCTGTTATAAATATCTATACTTACTTTGCAGGGAAATATATATGTCTGATGCTCTAAATTGGTTAATCAATTCGTACGTTTTTGGTCTTGATAAACGAAAGTGCATCAAAAAGTCGATGTCGTTGTACGAACGCACTGTTTTCCACATAATGTGGTATTTTTATATGGCGTATTCTTTGAATGCGAAAAATTGGATGTAACACTCTTAATGGAAACAAATCTATAACATATTTTAGGTTATAATCTTTCCTGATTTTTTAATAATATATTCAAATTATTGCTATGCATGATACATTACCGTTATCCTCTTCATCCAAAAGAAAATTTATATTTAACGGTGGTTGCAACATTACAACCATCTCTTCTTCTTCATCTGAGGAATCAACTAACTCCCAGTTTCGAGCAATGTGACGCGCCATGTTACTCACTGTACTATGGCGTTCTTTTCCCCTCTGTCAGAACTGCTACACTGATCAGTGTAGTGCAGTGCAGTGCTAGTGTAGTGCAGTGCCAGTGCAGTCCCAGTGCAGAGGAAAAGAACAAACCTTAGGTGTGGGGATTTTTAGGCCGTAAGAAATTGACCAATTACAGTGGAATTATAGAAAAATAACCAATTTTGATTGGACAGTTTCTTCCTGCTAAAACTTGCTATACCTTAGCCTTGGTCCACAAACTTGCTTTGGGCTGTGGGCAAGTTGACCAGTTACAGTCGGTTATTCTTGTAATAAACGATTGTAAAGGCCATTGCACGTAAAAAATTTTTAGTTGTAACCGTAAATCCGTAATTCCGTAAGAAAATTGACCAATCACAGTTGATTATTCTCCTCGCGTTCGAGAAGGCGAGGAGAATAATCAACTGTGATTGGTCAATTTTCTTACGGAATTACGTTTACGACTAAAAATTTTTTACGTGCAATGACCCTAACTGATCAGTTTGTTTAGGATTTGAAGCAGCATTATGGACTGAAACTAAAGTTCCAGCAGTCGCGCAATTCACGACATGCAATATTCAATAAGCATGAAACTCTTCTGAAAAATATAATATATATTCATGGGAATGTCGCACGTCGCATGTCGTTTGTTACATCGCGTTAATCTGTCGAAGCTGTTATGCTAAAATCTGTGTTCTTTGTTATGTACTATATATTTTCAGTGCAAACATTCAGAATATTCCTTATATATTAATAAATTATCTAATATTCTTTTGTTTATGAATATTTTTTTATAGAAAATATGGCCACACAGGAAGAAAGGTATAATAATATTGTATTTGTATAATAATTTACTACTTAAATAGCATAGATTGTTTGGTTAATCGTTATCCAACGTTTGATGATGGTTGAGCTATCAATTTTTGTTATTTAGATATGTAATCATTATTTAACAATGTTTTTTCTCTTATATCTAATTATTATATTTATATTTATACAGTTTTGATGCATCTAATTCAGAATTCAATGCACCAGGAAAAGAAAATAAACTAATTAAAAAGAAACATCGAAAACAAAAGTTTACCAAAAAATGGCTTTCTCAATCAGAATTTAGTACTTGGTTAACATCTGATGAGAATAATGAATATAAAGCAAAATGTATATATTGCTCTTATTCTATGAGTTCAGATTTATTAGTAATTAAGCGGCATGGACAAAGTATGAGACATAAGGAAAAAATGAAAGTAATGACTGTAAAACAAAAATCTATTTCATGCTTTACCAGTAAAAAACAATCCATAGATAAGACCATAATGTCTACTGAAATAAAATTAGTTTGTTTCTTGGCAGAACATAATTTACCATTTCGATTAGCTGATCATTTGGTGCAATTATTAAAAAATATTTGTCATGATCACCCTATAGTGCAAAATATCACAATGAAAAGAACCAAAGCTACTAATATTGCAGTAAATATTATAGGTAAATATCATAAAGAAAAATTGGCAGAAATATTAAAAAATACTAAATTTAGTCTTCTTACGGATGAATCGATTGACATATCAAGTGTAAAAACATCTTGCATAGTAGTAAGATTTAATGATATTAGTTAAAAAAAAATTGTCAGTAGATTTTGGGAACTGAGTAAAATTTTTGATTCTGTGAATGTCAATGAAGGTGCAACAGCAGAAAACTTATTTAAAGGAATAATCAAATCTTTTAAAGATAATTCGATACCTCTTTCGAATTTGATTGGTTTTGCTGCAGATGGATGCAGTGCAATGATGGGCAAACATAATTCTGTAGCTAGTAAGCTTAAAAAAGAGTGTCCTGATATATTTGTTTTAAAATGTGTATGTCACTCTGCTCATTTATGCGCAAATGAAGCGTGCAAAAATCTTCCAAGATTAGTCGAAGATTTAGCAAGAAATATTTATAATTTCTTTAAATCAAGTTCAAAAAGGCAATGTTAACTTCAAGAATTTCAAGAATTTGTCAATGTAACCCCACATAAAATGTTACATCCATCTCAAACACGTTGGCTTTCCTTAGTAATGGTCGTAGAGAGAATTATTGAACAATGGGAAGCTTTAACATTATTTTTTACAGATAGATGATTAATTGAACGGTTACAAATTACAGAACAAATTTTTAAAGAGCTTAATAATCTTTTAACAAAATTATATTTTTTTTTCTTGAATGGATTCTACCAAAGTTTACGGACTTTAATCGTTTCTTTCAAAGTAACGCGGTAGTCGTCACTGAACTTCACGACAAAATAATAAATCTTTACAAGGAAATTCTTCTATGTTATATGAATAAACATTATATTATAAAAACTTCACTCTGTGATATCAATCCTTGCAAAGAAGACGAATTCATCCCGTATACACAAATGTATTTGGGTATAAAAGTTTACCAAGCTACTGGTCTCATTGAACAAAGGGAATTAGAAGAGTTTTACTGGCGTTGCAGAAAATTCCTACAGGTTCTTATATATTTATAAATAAATAAAATATCTATTTACTTCAATTTTTATAGTCAATTTTTGTTTTTAAGTATCAGCTCAACAAATATCAAATCGTTATAATATGCAAGATCCTATTTTGAACCAACTTGGAGCATTACGTCCAAAAAATGCTTTATCTCTATCATACCGGGATACCACTCCGACACTTATAAATTTAATGAAAGTAGTACCAAGAATTTTGGTTTGCCAAAATAATAACGTTATGCAAGCAATAGACAATCAATGGCGGCGTCTTCCTTTCTTAGTTTCCCTTTTGCCTAAAGATGTTGGAAAACCAGATATTTGCGTTGACAAATTTTGGAACCAAATTTTAGACTATAATAATGCTGTTGGAAAATCTGAATTCTATGAATTGGCTACATTTGCTCTTGACATACTAAGTTTGCCACATTCAAATGCAGATTGTGAACGAATTTTTAGTCAAGTATATATCTTTAAATAAAATAATAATGATTATTTTTTTAATTGCATTTTTTCATAGTAATAATATCATTTTGTAATTAATTTTGTCTTTAATTCTACCTAAATGTGAACATTATAGATCAATATGATGAAGACAAAATACAGAAATAAATTGAAAATTGAAACAGTCAATGGATTATTACTAACAGCTGAGTACGTGAAACAATCCGGAGAGGAAAATTGTATTACATTTCAATCAACAAATGAAATGTTACAGAAGATGACATCTATTGTTTTATATCCACGAAAAAAAAAACAAGAGGCAATAAACGAGGACAGTGAAACAGAAATTTTTTTTTAATGATAAATTGTTTCAAAATTAAATATTTTATTCTGTTGAGAATTTAGAGAATTGTTTCGTTTAATGTGATTAGAAATTTATGATAATTTGTGGTGTGAGATGTGAGAGGATTCATAGATACTTGCAATATTATAATAATATACATTATGTATATGTTGATTTTATATATATATATATATATATATATATATATATATA